GACAGGCTTTCTCCCCGCAGCACCACTCCCTGGAGGTTCGCCAGCTGTGTGCATCAAGAGCTCACTGCTGGCCCCTGAGCTGTATGGCGTTCCAGCCCAGGATCGTCCGTCCGCCTGCTGGGTGCATTTAGTTTGTTTCTGTCTCGCACTACTACACACAGAGTGGCTATGTTGAGTGAAGTTTTAATTTTTTAGAAATCCCCCAAGAGCATAGCACTGTAGCATACGCATGCTAGTTTTATGAGAAATACTTGATCACCGAGGCTTTACAATATTCATGCTTTACTGATAATATTTGTGCTTGATACAGTCTCATCCTGCAGTTGCCTCTGGGCAGCTTTATTTGAATTGATCATACTTGTTTATATTTCTTAATTGGAGGAAGCAGAAAATGAACATTCATAAATGCACTTCATGTTTATTGCGTAAGTCCAGTAACACGGGCTGGGAGATAGCTCAGCAGTCTAAGTGCCTGCCTGGCAAGCATAAGGACCTGGGTTCAATCCCTGGTCCCACATGCCATGCTACCATGCCAGCCACCAGAATCAGGCGTGGTGCCACACCCTGTAATCCCAGTGCTGGGGAGGCTCAGACAGGAGGATCACTATGAATCTGCGCTGCATAGTGAGACTCTGTACCAAATAAATTTAAAAAATACAGTAACACTTAGAGAGGTTCTTTTTCTTTTCTTTTCTTTTCTTTTCTTTTCTTTTCTTTTCTTGTCTTTTCTTTTCTCTTCAGGGACAGGCCCTGGGCTCTCTCTGCAGTCAATAATAATAATTTGTGTGTGGTGATTGAAGCCAGGGCCTTCAAATGGAGCTACAACCCAGCCTCGCCCCTTTTATTTTTCATTTTTTAAATTTTTAAATTCATTTTAATGAGACAATAAAATAGCACTGAAACAGTTTCAAAACCGGGTAGTAGGACAGGTACAACAAGTGATACATTGCACATTGTTGTTTGCTTTTCATTCGGAGGCGGGGCTCTCGTAGCATGTTAAGTTGCCCAGGATGGTCTTGAACTCGCGGTCCTCCTGCCTCAGCCTCCAAGAGTGCTGGGATCACCGATGTGCACCACCACATCCTGCTAGTAGTGTTAACTTTTGGAGGACCCTTTTTTGCTTTCTTTCTTTATTCTCTCAGCTGTTCTTAAAAACCTGGTGACTTGCTGGGCATGACGATACAAGCCTGTAATCTCAGCACTTGGCAAGCTGAGGCAGGAGGATTGCGCGGTCAAAGACAGCCTAGAAGAGCTTGTGCCAGATAACAACAAGGAAACAAAAGCAGAAATCCTGGTCACTCTTGAGTATAACTCAGGCTACTGTGTTACAGGGAACTGGGATTGCAGATGGAGCTGAGGGTCCTAAACATGTCTGCTCAGAAAGGATAACCACACAAAAAGCCTTTAAACAGCCTGGGTGCTAGGGCTCCGACCTGTGCAGGATCGACCTGGAGCCGGGACAGGACATTGCTGTGACACTCGGAGCTCACCATGTGCCCCTGATGCACAATCGAGTCCAGAGTAACTACAGGAAATGCCTGTCGCGGGCAGCGGGCTTTGGGGACGCAGTGGGCAAGCAGCCCCTTCCCCTGACGCCTGAGTGGCCGAGAGTCCTGGGCTGCTTCTCATATGTTCAGCTTTCTTGAAGGATTGGCTGGAAGACTTGTGTGCAGCACTGGACCTCTGGCTTCACATGGAGGGACAGCCCCAGCCTTGGTCAGCGGAGCAGGGGCCTGATCCCAGGGCCTGTGCACTGACCCGCGTATGTTCCTGCCCCTTTCAATTTTTATGTATTGATTGATATAGGGTCTTGCTACACAGTTCAGATTTGTAGTGATCCTCCTGTGTCAGCCTCCCCAGCACTGGGATTAAAGGAGTGCACACCACACGGTTTGGGGTGGTGGGGGACAGCACATGTGGGGTTCTGAGGCTGGCGCAGCATGCGGTACTGGAGATCAAACTTGGGACCTTCACTTGCCAGCCAGGCATTCAGGCTGCTGAGCTATCTCTCCAGCTCCTCACCCCTTTTTAAAACACTCTTTAATATGATCTTACCAAATCCTGCAGGCTAGGCTCGAACTCTCAATCTTCCTGTTCAGCCTCTGAGAGTGCTAGGATTACAAGTATGCAGCACAAGGCCAAGCATTTATGTGTGTGTGTGTGTGTGTGTGTGTGTGTGTGTGTGTGTGTGTTGTTTGTTTGAGACAGTCTTGTTAAACTGCCCTCAAACTTGGGATCCTTCCGCCTCAGCTTCCCCAAGCGCTGGGATCACAAGCCTGTACCACCATACCCTGCTCCCCTCTTTTGGTTTTTGAGACCAGCTCTAATCCACTAGATTGCCAAGGCTGGAATGGAATTTACCATTCTCCTGGGATGTGGAGATTGCAGATGTGCGCCCCCAAGCCTGGCTGGGCCTCTCATCTCTGTTGCTGCTTGGGACTGTCCCTGGCTCTCCACTGCACCTGGAGCATATCCAAACACCTGTCTCCTTCAGAGCTTTCCAGGGAAGCCACTTGTGACGGCCATCTGTCTTCTCCCCCTCTGTCTTGTCCCTAAATGGTCACCTGCCTCTGAGCCTTGGTCCTGCTCCCAGCGTAGCCATCTGCTGCCCACGAAGCTGCAGCCCCCAGCCTCCCAGGGCAGGGCAACCTCAGGGTCCAGCTGCTTGGCGCCTTGGCTGGGACTGGGTTTCAGTCCTGCACATCGCAAGTCCTGCTGGCTCCCATCCCAGGAGAGGCGGAGGCGCTCCGAAGTCGCCATCAGGGAGAAAGCAAGCAGGCAGCTGCAACTCCTGGTGGTAAAAAGGGAAAAGTAAATCAAACTGGCAAGCAAGTGAGCTGTGCAGTCCTGAGACAAGAAGGTGGGACACCAGGGCGAGCCAGACACCGCAGCTCTGGGCCTGCAATCCCAGCGCTGCGAGGCCTGAGCTCAAACCTGGGTAGGTTAGTGATTTAGTGAGACTTCGTGGGGGGGGGGGAAGGCAGAACAATAGCAAAGAGTGCTGGAAGCATGGCTCAGTGTGAGGCTCCGGGTGGGTTCCATTCCCAGGGTATAAGAAACTACTTCAGTAGAGCTCCTTTTGGAGCCTTGGGCTTGAGTCCTCCCGCCTGGTTCTACCAGTGCTGGGGTGACAGCTGCGTGCCACCATCCCACCTACAGCACACTTCTAAGCACACTTTGGGCTATCCATAAACTCAGGCTTGAACAATAGCTAAAATTAAAGGGTACTGTATACTCTTTCCCCTTTTGGAGAAAAAGAAAAAAGAAAAATTCATGACTGAGAGGCTGAGGCCAGAGGAGGAGAAGTTCCAGCCCCGCCCAGGAACCGAGACACTTTAACAGGAGCCTCTCTCAAATAACAACAACAAAAACCAGTAGAAAGATCTGGGCATGTAACTCAGTGGAGACCCTGGCTTCAGTCCCCAGCCCCCAAAGGGGCTGGGGTAGGTTAGTGATTGGTCTGCTGACGTGGCCAATCCAACACCTAGCCTTTCCCTTGCCTGGTTAGCTGAGTCAGAATTCACCCAGCTGAAGTCCAGGCTGGTCAGAGGGTCCCATAGGGTGCAGAACTTCGAGGACACACATGGCCTCAGCCCCAGGACACCGTGGTGACACAGGCGGGGTTCCAGGCCCTCCCATGGGCAGTGTGACTCACGGAGTGTGGAACCTCAGCATGGAATGTGGGGATGAGCCAGGAGCCCTCTTGCCCTGGGCTGGGCTGGGCTGGGTGGAGGAGGGCAGCCTTTGGCCAGCAAGTAGGTGCCAGTTCCTGGGCCAGGGAGGGACTTCTGCCCCTGCAGCTAACACTTGACTCCTGGAAGCTCCAGGGTAAGGAGGGGGAGCAGCGGCAGGCTTGGCTAGCTGAGGCCTCGGAGCTGGAGAGGAGGGGTGGTGGCAGCCCTGGCACTCGTGAGGACTAGGCCACGTGGAAGGAGGGAGCTGGCAGCAGGAAGTGACCTAGGCTGGACAGTCAAAGGGCAACTCTGGAGGAGATGGCCCACCTACCACCCCCACTCCTCCCTATCTTATCTACTACTGGGGAGCCCCTAGGGGAGCTGTACAGCAGACCACAGGATTGATTGATTGATTGATTGATTGATTGATTGTTATGGGGGTAGAAGGGGGATTGAACTCAGAGACATTGCACTGAGCTACAGCCCCAGCCCTTGTTCAGTTTTTTAGTTTTCTAACTTTTGAGGCCGAGTCTCACTAAATAGATAAAATATCCAAGTTGGTTTAGTATTTTCAATCCTCCTGCCTCAGCCTCCTGGAGTGCGGGAATGACAGGCATGTGTCCCCATGCCTGGGCAACAGCTTCTCCATGAATTCTTCCTCTTCAGGGTTTAAAAAGAGGAGCTGGGAAGATAGCTCAGTTGAATAAGCACTTGCCTGGGCCTGAGTTCAATCTCCTGGCAAGATTTCAAAAGAGAAGTAAGCCCTTAGAACAGAGTCGGGAGAGGCAATGAGGTCCTTGGGAGAAGGTCTAGCACCCTCAGAAGCCCAGTGCAGAGGGGCTGTGGGCGGGAAGGTGGGGCACCCCCAGAGCAGTGAGCTTTTAGGGTGTGAGTGATCACTGGAAGGTGCGTGTGGGGGGGGTGCTTCTCTGAGGTCGTGATTCCCACTGGCTCAGGCCAGGGTCTCAAGTGGCTGGGGATTAGGGAGGGGTCTCCCACACCTCCTGTGTGGCGGGGCACTGGGGTGCCCCCGCGGTGGCCAAGGTCACAGGATCCCTCGGGGTAGTCAGGGTCGCGGGGAGGGTGCCTCTGTCCAAGCACAGGTTTCCAGCTGTGGACCAGAGGGCGGGACCCTGGGTCGCGAGTCCCCTCTCGCTGGCTGGTTCCCGCGCGGGCCGGAGGCGGGGCCCTGGGCGGGGCCGCCTGGCGCGCCCTCCCGTCCGGGCCGCGCTGACGCCCGCTTCCCGCAGGCGCGATGCTGACCTAGGAGCGGCGGCCATGGAGCCCGCGGGGCGCAGGCGGCGGCGGCGGCGGCGCGGGGACGGCGGGAAGCGCACCGTGCGCTCGGGGCTGCACCCCGGGCCCCCCGCGCTCGGGCTCCGGGGCGGCCGCGCCCCGCCCGCCGCCGACAACCGGCTCAAGACCACCAAGTACACGCCGCTGTCCTTCGTGCCCAAGAACCTGTTCGAGCAGTTCCACCGGCTGGCCAACGTCTACTTCGTGCTCGTCGCGCTGCTCAACTTCGCGCCCGCCGTGAACGCCTTCCAGCCGGGGCTGGCGCTGGCGCCCGTGCTCTTCATCCTGGCGGTGACGGCGCTCAAGGACCTGTGGGAGGACTTCAGCCGCCACCGCTCGGACCTGGCCATCAACCACCGCGCCTGCCTGGTCTTCAGCCGGTGAGCGGGTCCGGGGCGGTGGCGGTGGCGGACGGGGCGTCGTGGCCGGGGCTCGCGGTCTTGGCGTCCTGGGGCGTCTCCCTTGGGCGCCCCTTCCGCGCCAGTCGCCCTGGTCAGAATGCATCCCCGGAGCATGGGATGTGGGGGCGCAGGGGACCCACGGGGCTACCTGTGCTGCTGATCTTGAGGGGCGCCTTTGTGAGGCAGTTTATTGGCGGGGAACAGGGCCTGGGGACCTCGGATAACTGAGTCCTGAAGCTGCAGTTTGTCTTAAGAGCACAAGTTTAAACTTAGGATTTTCTCCGCCTTCCTCCTACCTGCGCTGCTTCAGTCTGGCCGCAGTGCCAGAGCTGGAGTCTGGCAACGGGTGGGGCAGACTCGTCCCTGCTCCTGTCTGCTTCTGTGAAAGTGACGACCCAGCGCAGAGCTCCGGGTCCTGCCTGGTGTCCTTGGCTGACTCCGTGGGCCAGGGCACTGGGGGCGCTGACAGTGCCTGCTGGGTCGGGTGAAGGGCAGGGGTGATGGCTGCAGCAGGAGCTGACGTCACTCCGTAGTTTGCGAAGTGTGCAGTAGCTTCGGGATGGAAAGAGACTCCCAACTGCCTGCTGGTCCAGTGTACCCACTGCAGATTAGCCACAAGAACATAAATCCCAACTGAGCCTGAGGCAGAGCTGGGGCTCCAAGGGAGCCGATGGTCTAAGCCACCACGCAAAGCTCAGTCGTGGCCTAGGCTGGACCTGTAGTCCCTGCAGAGGGGCCTGCGCTTGGAGAGCATTTGCCCTGCCCACCCCATCCGGCCTGAGGACACCTGGTTAGCCCTGCTCTCCTGGTGGGGATCACGTTTGTGCCTGCTTAGGGCTGATGAGAGTGGAGGGGTATGCGAGAGGTCTGCTCGGCCACGCAGCGCCTACCGAGCAGAACCGGATTTGTCCCAGGTGTCCTGACTGCTTTTCCAGTATTCCTGTGCCTTTACCTCAAAGACTGTTACAGGAATCACTTGAGATTGTTGGTTTCTTTTTCTTCAGTGTGTGTGTGTGGTTTTGATGCAGGGCCTTGCTCTAGGTAGTTCACGTTGGCCTTGACCGTGCAGTAGTCCTGCCTTGGTCTCCTGAGTTCTGGGATGGCAGGTGTGGGCCACCACAGCTGGCAAGGAAACAGTTACGATAGTGACACTGGAAGAAGTTTGCCCAGGGTATGGGCTGGCCCTGGATTTATTGGTCTGGAAGTGACTCTTAGGTGACCTGAGGGCCCCACTCACCCTTGGGACCCCACTGCAGGTCAGCAAGTGGGACTCTGATCCTGCCCGATACACTGCGGGGTCCAGGTCTTGCCTGGCAGCTTGGAGTCTGCATGTGTCGCGTCCTATCACCATGGAGCCCTAACTCCAGGCCACCACCGTTTAGGAAGTCTTCCAGCTGGGCAGGGAGGTGCACGCCCGTAATTCCAGCACTGGGGAGGCTGAGGCAGGACGCTGACTGCAGAGGCTTCAGCAGTTTGTCTTTAGTTGATCAAGTGCTGCTCCTGAAGCCGTGAGGCCCACACAGTGCCCTCACCCGGTCTGAGAAACTGAGGCAGGAATCCAGAGCTCGCCCACTTGCTCTTTCTTTCTTTCTGATGTTGGGGATCAAACCCAGATGTGCTCTACCACTGTGCTACATTCCCAACCTTAATGACTGATCAGTCGATTGACAGTTATGTGGCACAGCTGACTGAGCCCAGGGCTTTCATGGTGAGTTACACCCAGAGCCGCCTGCTCTGAGGGTCTGGCTGGAGCTGCTGCACCAAGGTGTTGGGTGGAGCTTGTAGATTTTCTTTTGGTCTTCAGAGGTGGGGCCTTCAACTCATGAGCTCAAGCTGCATCCTCCCTTCCTGGGTCCTGAGTGGCCACGTCCTCTCTTCCTGGGTCCTGAGTGGCCACGTCCTCCCTTCCTGGGTCCTGAGCGGCCACGTCCTCCCTTCCTGGGTCCTGAGCGGCCACGTCCTCCCTTCCTGGGTCCTGAGCGGCCACGTCCTCCCTTCCTGGGTCCTGAGCAGCCACGTGTCCTCCTTTCCTGGGTCCTGAGCAGCCACGTGTCCTCCCTTCCTGGGTCCTGAGCAGCCACGTGTCCTCCCTTCCTGGGTCCTGAGCGGCAGAGCACAGCCCGCATTGATGGAGCTCTAGGGAGGACCCACCCCCAGGGCCTGCCCCCAGGCCCTGTTCCCAGCCTGTCCTCTGCCTGCTGCCTCTCAGGACAGGGCCCAGGGTCAGGAAGCCTTACAGTCAGCCCGGAAGCCCTGCTTGAAGCCTGCGTCTTACGCTGGGCCTGTTTGGCCCTCTGAGGGTGTCCACTGCTCTGGACCCATGGGAGCGTCCAGAGCCAGGTCCGGCTGGGGCCCATGCTGTGGGAAGGGTCCCATGTCCCTATGTCCCCAGGCTATGGCCCTGGTGCAGAGCAGCAGTAGGCACTGCTGCTGGCAGGTGGGCCTCAGTGTGGGCACAGGCTGGCCGGAGAGGAGCAACGGCTCTGAGGGGGACCCTCGTTAGGGCTGTGGCTGAGGATTGCCATGAGGCTCCCAGTGCCCTGTGTGGAGCCCAGACTTCCTGACTCCTGTACGGAGGGGCAAATAGGGACAGATGAGAGCCACCTGAACTGGGGCTCAGGGATCAGGGAGGGACCTCTGGGTCCCTGGTGGATGGGGCTAGAGGTCTGAAGGAGAGTGACACGCCCCACACACACCCACTGGGGATCGGCGGGGCCTCCCATGGACGGGGGCCCCATCCTCTTGTTTATTTATTTGTGTGTGTGTGTGGCCAGCTCAGCTCACCAGGGGGCGGGGCTGGCTGGCATGTGGTGCTGGGGGATTGAACCGCGGTCCCTGTGCTTTTGCTAAACTTGTTCTAAGTAGGTGCTTTAGACCACTGAGCCATCTCACCAGCCCCCCATCCTCTTGTAAAACCTTTCTGTCTGGGGACAGGGTCTTGCTAAATGGCTAATATTGCCTGGACTGGGCTCGCACTTGTGGTCCTTAGGCCTCAGCTTCCGGATGGCTGGGCTTTCACAGGTCTGCGCCACCAGGCCAGGCTTAGGTCTGTTCACCTACAAACTTCTCCTGCAAACCCTCCTTCCTTTCTGTCTGTCTCTCTGCTCCTGAAGTTCACTTTGCAGAAGCTGTGTGTGCCCGGGTGTTTTCGCAGCTTCACCGAGCCGGCTGCTTCTGCGGGTTTCTGCATGCTCCTCGGGGCTGCGGTGCTTGTGCAGGTGGTGAGACCTGGACACCACTCAGGGCTTGGGCTCACACTGCAATGATTGTTTTTAGGCCAAGGCAGCCTCTGTGTGGCATGCTGCCCCGAGACACGGACAGACTCAGACACCCGCCATTCGCACATTCGAGGGCCCCTGCCTGCGTCCATCAGTTTGTCAGAGGATGCCGCACGGTGGAGCCGTGGTTCTTAAGCTCCTGCTGTATCAGTCGTGGGTTTACAAAGTGACACTCTACCTTACCTACCGCCTGGCCTCCCTGGGTCTGGCACTGGGTGCTGGGTGGCTGGCATTGCTCAGCAGGAACCAGTCAGCCTTCCAGAATGTTTTTGTTCTGAAATAATTTTAGATTTGCAGGAAAGTTGCGGCAACAGTGCAGGATTCCTGTATCTACTGCTGCCATCTTACCTCAGTCACTGGGCTGTAAGGGCCCACACTGCGATGCTGACGCGAGCAGCTCGTTCAGGGCTACACACGTCCCCACCAGGGCATTCTGAGCTCCGCTGCGTGGTGACCCTGCCCCACCACACTGCAGACCCAGCGCGTCCTGTGGATTGCCCAGGCTTTTCTGGATGCAGTACTATTGCCTGGGAAGGGGACGGCTTTACTTTGGTCTTGCCAGACTGATGCCGTCCCTCTGTTTTCCTTTCTTCGTCTCCGCTTTTTGCCTGCTAGCCTGCCTAGAAGCCCTAGCACAGTAGTGTTCAACAGAAATGGCAGCGACAGGCATCTTCGTCCTGCCCTAATGCAAGACACTGGGAGACGTTCTCCTACACCTGGCTAAGAAACTGCTGGCTGTAGTTTTGTTTTTGTGGTGCTGGGAATTGAACTCAGGGGCTTTGTACTTGCTAGACAAGTTCTCTACCATCAAGCTACATTCCCAGGCCAGCTGCTTTATAGGGCTGAAGAACTTCCCCGCATTACTGCTTTGTTGAGTGACTTCCATTGTTTTGTTTTTAGCAGGAAAGGGTTTTGGGGGCTGGGGTGATGTAGCACCTGCTTTGTGTGCATAAGGCCGAAGGTTCTGTGTTTGTTCCTCGGCAGTGCAAAATGACACTACTGGGGCCTTAGCCACATCTCTATGTGATCTTGTGGCTTTGTCCTTTATTCAGTTAATATGACTTAAAACGTTTTCAAATGTTAATCTCACTCCTGGAGATCTTACTTGAGCATAATGAAGTTTCTTTTTCTGTCTCACTGAACCCAGTTTACTAGAATTGGGTGGATTTCTGCATTTGTTTTTCTTTGTTTGGGACGGGGTCTTATGAAGTAGTTGAGACTGGCCTTGAACTCACTATGTAGCCCAGCCTGGCCGTGAAATTACAGCAGATCACCTGCCTCAGCTTCCTAAATGCCGGGGTTACCACCGTGTGCCACCTGCCCAGCCTGTACCTATTTTCACATGGGATACAGCCCTGTGTGTGCAAACCTTTGGGGGCTTTTTCTCTCTGGGAAATCCTGCACCAGCCTCCTGCCTTGCGTGCGGGGCGTGTCCTTGGGGAGTTGGTGAAGAACTGATGCTCACTCTTCATTAAGCCTTTGGAAGAACTCAGTGCTGAGACCAGCTCAGTCTCCAGGGGCCTTGTCCTTGCCTGGAGAGTTGGTAAATTGGCGCAGTGTATCCTGTAAGTGCAGTTTTAAACTTGGCACAGTGTCTCTTGCAGGCAGGGTGGACTTTCTCCTTCCTGAGTTAGTGTGGTTGTTTTCTTGAAGGAAGCTGCCCATTTCCTCCGACTCATTTTACTTGTTTTCATAGAGTTG